TGTCCCCCGTGCCTGGCTAAGTCTTTATATACATTTAAAATTGAATACACCTTGAAAAAAGCCCTCTGAGACAGCCGTTATTATTGTTGGGGTTTCAGACAGGAGCCACTGAGGCACAGCGAGATTACCTAACTCAAAGGCCAAAGTCACACAGAGTCCAGCTTTGAAAACCAGGCTCCTGCTATCCTGCCTTCAGGCACCTTGGCGGCCTGCTCATTACTTTTTTTTTTAAATAGCCTTCATATCTGTTGCCTTCAATCCATTTCCATTGCCCTTGACCGTGCTTGTGCTCACGCCCTCCTGACTGCTCACCTGAATGGGTGCATCCTTTTTCCCCGTCCCTCCGCCTCCATCCCCTCCCCCGGCAGGCGAAGCCAGGTGCTGCGCCTGCCCCTCAGCTCCCGTCGTGGAGAGTCCCCTCATGGACGGAAGGTCAAGGGAAAGGAATTTGGGGAAAGACAAGAAACCAACAAAATTCATGGACAAATTCATGAACAGCTTCTTTGTAGTAATAATCAATGAAAAATAAAAGACTTTTAGCAAGTGTAATGAAAAATAGAGGGAGGAAGGGGAGAACACACAGATTACAACATTTGCAATGAAACACGGAGTGTAACGCCAGGTTCAGCGAAGCTTAGAACAACTGTAAGCCAATACTTTATGCAACTTTAGGTTAACAACTTTGAAATTCAGGGAGGATGATGAGAAGTTTTAGAAAAATTTAAATTGTACAAGGTGCCTTAAGGAGAAAATTTGAATACACAAAGAACCATGAACAAAACTGAAGAAAAGCTGTCGAAGAACGGCTCCTGGGAAAAGCACAGGGTCTCGGTGCTTTTCTCAAAAGAAGAAAAGTTATCCTCCCTTGTGATAATCCCTATGAAGGGAACTGATAAAAGTCACAATGGAAATGTAATGTGTGTACCTAACCAAGGCATCCTGGGAGTTGTGACTTCTTCGGTGAGCTCTGAAAGGAGAGGCCTCCTTTCCTCGGAAGCCTCACGGGGGGACCGAGCTCCTGAGCTTTTCCTTAGCAGAGCTTCCAAGCAAGCAATCATCGTGATCATACTTAAGCATTTCCCAAACACGAAAAAACATGCAAAGGTACTTACAACACTTTGTGAAGCATGTACGGCTTTGACATTGAAACCCGAGAAATGTAAAACAGCAACAGTATAGTCCAGTATTATTTGTGAACATCGCAGCAGAGAGGACTAGCTATCCATCAGGATTGATGTTCCCCTGTCATAGTATGGGCACATTGTTGGGAAACCTCTTTTCATAAGGAAAAGAAGTTTCCCAACCATACCTACTCTTCGCACAGTGGAATGTGAGTGGAAGTGATGTGTTCATTTCCAGGTTATGGCTTTTTCAATATGTGTGGGGGCCTTTTCATTCTTTCTTTCCCCTTCGCCTCAGAGGGTGATGAAGCTCTAGGGCACAGGTTGGTAAATTATGGCCTGTGAGGCTGCTGTGTTTTTATAAATAAAGTTTAGAACACAGCCATGCTTCTGTCCTTACTTACCACTCTGGCTCCTTTCAGGCCACAGCAGCTGAGCCGAGTGGCTGCGACAGACGGCTGAGATGGGCTGGCTTGTTCACTGCCTGGCCCTTTGAGAGGACGTCTGCCGCCCTACTCCGGAGGCTGCCCGGGCAGGAAGCCTGACGGAGCCCGCCAGGCCCAAAAGCCTTGCCATGGAGGAAGACCCCGGGGTGTCTGCACGCTTCTGTTCAGCTGCCGAGCTTTCGGGGTCTAGCAGCTACCATTATTCCAACTAATATTGCAAGAAATGCAAAATCTCAAATAAAATACTAGCACCTTCTAGAAAAAAGAAGCTATGAAGATTTTTTTTCCCCAGACATGTAAGGTGATCAGAAAATATAGCATAGCCCATAACTAGGTCTAAAAAGAACACCCATGTGATCTTTTCTGCATGTTGAAGGCATTTTAAAAACAGCCTCCATCTTACAGACTACTCTTAGTGGAACTAGGCAGAGAAATACTTCCTCAGAATATCTGCTTATACCAACGGCTGATATCATATATGGAGGTGAATGACTAGAGAAATTCCCATTTAGGATAGAAACAAAGCAAAAAATAAATGTTATCAAGGACAACAGAACAAAAAACATAACGTACATGTAATGATGTAACACTGCTTTTGAAGCACTGGCATTGCAGCAATAATAATTTTCTACGATGTGCGTATTAGGCATTATTAAATTATATAATAAAACTTTTACACAATATAAAGTAATATAAGTTATATGTACTTTATATTCATACATATAATTTTACATATGATATGCATCAACATATAATGTAAATATTTTACATACAATAAAATATATTTAACTTCATTTGTATAATATAGTATACTTTATAAGTTACAACATTTACACAAAACTCATATAATTTATAAATATAAGTATATTATATAATTTATAAACAAAAATTATATATAATTTGTGTTATAAATATTCTGTATATAATTTTAAAAATTATATTAATTACATAGTATGTTAATAAAACCATAATGTCACTTGTCAAGTATCAACCAGTGCATCAAGGCAGGAAAAAATTGAAGCAGGAGGCAAATTTTCATTATTTGCAGACAGTATGACTGTGTACCTAGGTAATCTAAGGTAAACTTAGAAACTGCTGAAACTATTAAGAAAATCTGCAAAGTTATAAAATAAATGTGTAACATCAATAGGTTTTCCATATGTCAGCAGTAATTGACTTTACTTTAAAAAATCTATTTAGGAATATAAAGGAAGACTTGACTAAGGAGAGAGAGACTGTATTTTTGCCTCAGAATTAATGTATTTCAAACATATGAATTTATCATAAATTAATATATGAATTCACTGCAGTCCCAAAGAAAATTCTAACAAGACTGAAATCAGCATGTGATAAACTGATTTTAAATTTTACTCAGTATATACTTGTGAGATTAGTCAAGAAATACTAGAAAGATCAGGCCAATATAAAAAAATTTGGGAAGACAGATATTAAAACAAATTGTAAAATATATCAATAAAACTGTAATACTAGAGTTAGTTCTTTCTCTTAAATCATACACTTAAAAAATATCATATGTGCTCAGCATTGGATTATAAAAACAAAGTACATAAATGTTAGAAGACAGTATAAGAGAATGTCTATATTCTTGAACTAAAAATATTTTCAATAAGTAAATTCAGAAACCATAAAGGAAAAGATTAATAGACTTAATTACAGAAATTGAAAACTGCTATTGGTAAAATATACTCTGTACACACACCCACAAAGCCCAAGGACAAACTGCGGAAAGGATCTGCAATACCTAAGGCAGATGGAGGACTAGTATTTTTTCCCTTATATAAATAGCTTTTACAAAGCAGTAAGGGAAGAAAATGCCCCATAGGAAGAAGAAGAGTAGCCATGAACTGTCAATGACACAAAATCATGTGGAAAAATATAATCTCACCATAAACCAAAGAATGCAAATGAAAATGAGATCTTTTTCCTATCATACAAAAATCAATAATAAATTTATATGCATGGAATAGAATGTTCAAAGAAATGATAAGAGATTATCCAAAGGAGAGCTTCTCCTGTCCTGGACCTTATCAGAGCAAAGATGGAGGTGGGAGCATATGGTTGAGTAGGCTAGTCCTAATTCAAAGGCACAGGATAATCAATGTGAAGGGAGAGGGTGCAGAAGATGGTAAATCACAAAGGCATATATAGGGGCACTGAAAGGTTAGCGTATTGTCTCTCCTAGAGTTGATATTTTCATATTTACAGGTTCCAAATACAAAATTCATGTGGCCTTTGAATGCTGGGTAAGAGCAAGATTTTAGAGTGTGGATACACTTAACGATAAGTTTGATAACAAACTTAGTGTTTGATAAAAATGTCTTTCTACATACAGCGGTTCCTTGGTACTCATCGTTAATTTGTTCTGGAACTCCTGAGGAGTGCCAAAACTAACTGGTACTGAACAATGAAGCATTTTCTCTTGCGATGCAGCTTCATGACTCATACAAGTTCAAGCAAGTGTGACAAGTCCCCAGCAAGCACCAAGTGCTGAAACATTTTTTTTTTTTTCATCAAAATGAGACAAGGACAGGGTTTGGTGAGTTTTGAAGCCAACAAGTACCAAAGTATGACTGTACTTTTTCAAAGTGTGTTTAAACATTTATTTGTGCCCTGCTTGTTAAGTACCTAATCCTTAGAGCTCTTTATGGGCATAATTGGAAGAAAATAAGTTTGCCTATGGGAACGTTCATCTCTCCTTTCTTCCTTCTACCACATTTTCCCTGTTTCACCCCAACACCTCTATGAATGGATTCAGGATGCTCAGGCTGTTGGGCCCATATGCTCTCAATTGTTAAAAAGTCTACAAATGATTTTATGCAGTTTATAATAGAATTAATGTTTGAGTCTCCTCTTTAGGTATTTGTTCATCAACTTTTGAGCACATATGAGGGTTGTTGAAGAGTTTTCGCATGCTTATGGACCTGACCTTTGCTTCCAGAGCCTAGGAGTTGGGCAGGCTCCGTGATCGTCCTCTGAGAGAGGTGAACTAAATTGGGGAAACCGCAACACACAGCTGGCGAACCGGCCCTAGAGTTCAGACCTCCTCATCCAAGGCCAGGCCGTGTCTGCTCTGCTGCTCCACCCCCCTGTACAAGAGGAAGGCTGAAGACAGCCATGGTCTCTAAGTGACGGGAGCTTATAGAGCACGTGTTTTGAGGATTATATCAAGTGGGGTTCTCAACCTGCTTAACGAGAACAAAATTCATCTATGTTGGCCTGCCCTTGGAGGGTGAATGGATGGGAATTTGTCCTTACTCCCAGGACCTCTGGTTTTGGGACCTTTCTGGGATAGCAACCTATGGCATGAATCTTGTCCAGGGAGAGGCCTGCCGCCCCAGCACCCCAGCAAGCTGGAGCAATGACTGCCTCACATCTCAGGGCACAGAGAGGAGCACGCCGCTTGTTCTCCTACCTTTTATGGCCTCTTTCACAGTAGAATCAACAGGCAGTATGTTCTTCTCCACCAGCTCCAGCGGCCCTGGCCGGAGAGCAATTTTTTCATTGAGATCATCTGCAAGTCGGGCTCTTTTCAGCTTCATCTGAGCAGTTGGAATGGACCTCTCTGCAGTGGAGGCTGAGGGGTTGAGAATAAAAGGATTAGCTGTAGAATTTGGTGGGTGTTTTGTTTTGTGGGTTTTTTTGTTTTTGTTTTTCGCTTTTGTAACCAAAATAATGTGTCACATTGTGCTCTACCATCCTGATAATTTTTCAACACAATCATCATTTCCCATGGATTAGCAGCTAAGACTAGACACTTCTAAATAAAGACAAATAGCGAGTCAGACACACAGAAAAGTTAGAGAAACTTGCTTTGTGAGGATTTTTGAAGAAATGTACAATTTGGTGATTCTGTAAGCAAGCAGTCCACGGGGCCTGCAGTGCTTGCTGACCCTCAGCTACAACATTTGGATGCACATCCTGTACCTGTTCCCAGGTATAGGCTGAGCGTACAGTAAGTATTATCTATTATTATAATTACTTGTAGTGGTATGGTTTCTTTGGGCTTTTATACTTGTCGATGGGATACTAACTGATTCAACTATCCAGGACAATTGTAAAAGAAAAAAGATTCCTTTGAAACAGTTTTTCAATTAAATAGAGGAATGTAAAAAATGGAATTTATCCAACGAGCAGTTGATGACCCTTTGGCGGGCGAGAAGGGTCTCTGGCAGAGCTCTAAGCCATGCCTGCGTTCCTCTGGCAGTTAGGCCGCCGCCCGCTTCTGCGGGCAAACGTGAAGGAGGAGCTAGTCGACTAGGTGCTGCTCTAACACAGAGCTGCAGGGGAAGATTCTTTAAGAGTTTGCAGCTTTATTCTCAACTTTGAAAACTTAAAAAGTGAGATATTTACAGACAAGCCCGTCAACCCCGTTGTTCTGTTATCTTCATCGTGTTAACCCAGGCCTAGCGTCTGACCTGGAAATCTTCATACAGCAGAGACACAGGGACACCTAATTGTTGCAACAGGCCAGATGTGTTCTAAGAAGCTGTATCTGCACAGCTCTTGATGTGAGATGGAAGCACCAGGAAACTCCCCACTTAGAATCAATAAGTGGGTGTTTTTCTTGATTATATATATATATGGGCTATATATTTTGGCTGGGTCTATATATTTTCATCATAGAATGTGACTGAAAATACAGTCTATGTGTATGGTTTTCCTTCCCTAAATCTGGTTGCAAATACAGTTTTATTTTCTGGGGGTTTTATTTTTTTTCATAGACATCATCTTGTAAGACTTTTGTCATTAAATCATTATTCTTTTAAAGCCTTATTTGTAGTGGCTGCAAGGTATTTAATTATATGGCTGACGGGTAATTTATTGAGCCCATCTCTTATTGTTGGACGTTTCACTGTGTGCAATGTTTCACCATCTAAAGTAATTCTGGATAAACGTCGTTGTACATAAATCTTTGCATGTGTGATTATTTTCTTTGGATAAAACACAGGCAGATCTCATTTTACTGCACTTTGCTTTATTGCACATCACGGATGTTGTGTTTCTTACAAATTGAAGGCAAGACCTTCCACCACCAAAAAGATTACGATTCACTTTATTTTGACGCTTGCTTTATTGCAGTGGTCTGGAACCAAATCAGAACTATTTCTGAGGTAGGCCTGTACCAGAACTTTATTACTAGGATGGACACATTGTAAAGGAATTTGCTATATGTTGGACATTCACTATGTGCTCGGAGAGAGTTAGGAGGTGGTACAGCTAAGACTGGAACCCAAGCCTGATATCTTTCTAGCCATTACATGGCTTCCCAAATTGATTGTCTAAGTGGCCTAGAATGACTAGGTGACTGCTCAAAAGCACCAATTTCTAACGGCAGGGGACACTTTCTAAGAGGACTTAGCAACTGTACAGAGACAAACAACTCTCGCAAATGGCCCACCATTTGCGGGGGGCACCCTGGTTTATGATTTCCTGCAGACTTACCCTGGAGAATGTGCATATTAACCAAGCCAGCACCGTCGGACCTGTTTCTGACCTTGTGCTTCAGGGTGTCTTCAGTCTGCAGGCACAAGCAGAGAATAAATTCTGTTATCAACCACATATAGTTGAGTCATCTAGTTTTAACTTTAAGAGAGACCTGATTTTCTCAAAGAGCAGGGTATGCTTTTTATGACAAATGGAACGTGCAAATATCCCGGGTCCCCTATGATTTGATGCAGAAACACAAAAGCCTCTTTGATAGTTTTAGGATGGAGAGAGAAGATAAAGAGGTAAAAAGCTTGCGTCTACAGCAGGGCTGCAGAGTCAAAGGCCAGGTATTTACATGTTAATAAAATATTAATGAAACCGTGATGACACCAAGCTGCTTGCATTATAGTTAATCCTGTTCCATTGCCTCTTAAAATGACCATGACATTAATTAGGGTTAGAGATGACACAGAACCCGAGTCCATCTGGTATAACATGACAGCATGTGCCCTCCTCCTGGTATTCACCTGACCCCTCCCTTAGGACAGTAGAAATGTAAATAAACCCTGCAGCCTGAGGCCCGTCCTCAGCTGGGAGGACACTTAGAAACGGACTGTTGAGTGAGTCTCATGCCTGCCTGGTCACGGAGCTGTCTGTAGGGATGCCGTGGGCCGTGGCAGGGCCACCCTGCACCTCAGCCCCCTGGTTCCCAGTTCTGGGCTTTAATCCCACTGTATGGCTCCCCTATTTGGCCCCTGGGGACCACCCCAGCTCTGATTAAACAGACAGACACACAGCTACTCCCCAGGTAGTAGGAACCACGGCCTCTCATGAGTGAATGCCTTTCTAAGAGTTACAAGCTCTGTTTCTTTCTCCACTCAGACTAGTTGCAAGGCCAGAACTCTTAGACAAAGGAATCTTGGGAGAAAAACACCAGCTGTGTGTTTCCTTCCCCTTTACAGTGTGGATGCTTGACATAGTATTTATATTATTGAGATGTTCAGGTGGCAGAGATTTGCTATGAAGATACAGAATATATGCCAATTTTGACCCAAAATGCCACTCCTCCCCCAGAAACAGAAAGAGAAGTAAACTCAATGCCTTTTGCCTTGAGTAACTGCAAATAAGATCTGTATCGACGGGCCTTACCTTAGCACTGAACTGCATTTAAAAAAATCTAATTGTCACTGAGAAAGGACTGTAATGACAAGGAAAGTGGCCTGCAAACCAACTTTCACTTCCTTGTTTAGAATCTCTTTGACTTCTTTTTTTTTTTTTAAATAAAGATTTTCTTTCTTTTTAGAGAGAGGAGAAGGGAGGGAGAGAAACATGGATGTGAATGAGAAACAACCATCGGTTGCCCCCGGGGACAACACTAAGAGCCTCAGCACGTGGCCTGGCCAGGAAGGGAACCAGTGGCCGTTTGCCCTGCTGGACGATGCCCTTTGACTGCTACTGCATCCCGGCAGTGATCCCCCAACAGCAGGAAAATCAGGGACATTTTTAAGCTAAAAAGTAACATTTTTAAAGCTAACATAGGTGACCCCATTTCCACTGTTTTCAGTTTATAGGACTAAGATTCCATAGTGTTGCGGGGGGCGGGGGCACGGGTTAGGGAACTGGCAAACTGGTTGAGCTTCCTATAGGAATTCTGTGGGCTTTAGCCAAAGGTTAGCATTCAGGGACTTATACCCTGGAACCTAAGTTCAGGAAGAGGGCAGTTTGCAAAAAAATTACCTTGTCACTATCCAAATGTTTTCTTTGCTCATGGAATACAGTTGGACTTTTCAGTGCTGAAACAGAAAGACAAAGACGTGAGCAGAGTGGGCCCAGGGCTATGGGCAGCGTTGCAGTACTTGCCGGTGCGCTGGCTGAGCTGTGCACAATACGAACGTGGTCGCCTTTATTAGGCCACAAGCAATTGAAGAGGAAAGGCTTGGAGGACTCCAGCTTCCCTGAAGCCACAGAACACAGAGGAAGGTGGAATTTAGGCCTAAACCAGGAGGAGCAGTAGAGGCAGGTGCGACAGGGAGAGACATGGAGGCGACAGGGCATTCCAAGTTCCTGAGGGAACACAGGCCGATGGGAAAGGGGGGACAGAAGCAATGCTCTAGTTCAAGGAGGGGAGGCTGGGGTAAGTAACACCCTCTTTGACTTTCCTCTGCCGCTGAATGCAATAGACTGCGTGGAAGCTGTGGTCTGTGGGCAGGGGTCCCGTATCGTTAAGAAGGGACTTGCCCCTTGGATGTGGTAGGTGGCTGGTGGGTGGGAACGTGCAACTAGAGGTGTTGAGTGAGAAGCACAGAACCAGACTTTGAGGGCTGGAAGGACCTTGGAGATAATGAAATACAACTCCAACCCTGAACACAATGGGGAAACTGGGGCCCATGGAAACGGGTTGACTTGCCCAGGGTCACAGCAGTAGGGCTAGTAGCCTAGGTCCTCTGACAACCTAACTTCTTTCAAGGTGTGTGTCCAAGATATTAACAACCAGGGATGCAGGCACTGGCCAGTCATGGCACACGGCAGCCATTTACAACCTCGACCGATCACCAGCCTCCTTTCTTCCCACTACGCTCTGTTCTCCTACCGTCTCCCAGCTCCTCCTCAGCATGAGTTATTAAACTTTTTGACTTAGCACAGAAGTAAACCATCATTCAGCAAAATTCTACATTTTTCTCTTAGGCTTTCTGGTCCCCTGCAACAATCTTCATCAGGAGCCACAAACAACCCTTCTTCGTTACAAGTGATGAGGTTGATCAGAGATTACAGAATTGCGCTAAATAGTTTTCTGTGTAAGTTTGAACAAGTAAACGAGTCATGTGACCCACAGTGTTAATATTACTCCCACAGGTGTCCACTTGTAAGCTACAGGCAATGAAATATTCCTCCAAACTTTGGCCAGAATAAAAAACTTGGCCAAATTGGTACTTCGGCCTGTGTGTGTGTTTATGTGAGTATCTCTGTGCATGTGCCTCATTCAGTCCTTCAGATCATGCTAGGTTTGAACAGTTTTCAAAAGGATGTGCTGGACATTAAGCCAACTCTTTTGTGGTCCAGACTACGTTGTCCTCTCTTGAGGACACTGCTCGGGAAGGGGCTAAGCATGCTCTCTCTAAGTTTCCCTGCGTCACCCTATCAGTAACAGTGTCATCTAAAGGAGCAAGCGGAGCAGCCCCAGCTGGCTGCCACGTACCAAGCATACTGGACAGGCCCCTTCTCCTACCTTGAGCAGATTAAGAAGCTTCCCTTCATATAGGGAGAAAAAATTAAATGTGTTGATTGAACATCATGTTTTCTATGGATCTAATAACAATTTCTCTTGGCTGTTTTCACTCTTAAAATGGGTTTCTTTGCAAAACCTGCTGTTTCAAATGGCCCCCTTCCCTCCCTCCTTTTGTCCCTCCTCAGTGACTCCAAGAAATCATTTGGGGACATGTGTAGTTCTACTGTGATGCTCGCACATTTTCTTTGATTTGGGCCTGGTCGCCATCCTTAGTAAGGAGGTTTGCTTTTTCCTGCATTTGATCACAGTTACAATTTATGTTGACGCAGTTCTATAAGCCACTCCCATTTCCCTAGGCAACTAGATCCTACACCTCTGCTTGAAGTCCAGTGGATCCTGGTGGGTCTATACGATCTGAACAGATAGGTCTTCACCTGTGTCCCACACGCTGGTGTTCATCTCCGTAGGTATTATACACTGGTGTGCTTTAATCACTTACAATCCTGAAAAGGAAGTGATCTTACTGTGACCTGATTAAGTGGTTAAGAAGAATAACACGTCCTTTTCCTTAAGAAGCAACCCCTAAGGGAACAGTATGAATGTATCTTGAGATATCAAATGGTTTTAATTGGGCTTAAGACTTGGGAGGAACTTATCTGGTTCTCTTGTCCCTGAGGTTCTTCAATTCTTTTTAGCACAGTTTATTAATTGTTCTAAGAAACATTGCATTTCCTGTATCTTAGTGTGTAGAGCTATAATTCATCACTTCTGGGTGTTAACAACTCCACTGTGAAATGACTCATACAGTCCAGTTCTCTGATGCCAGGAGCACGAAGGTCTTCTGGAACCTTCTAGAAAACACAGGGTGGAGAAGCTATGTCCCATTAGGACTTGGGAAGGAAGCCAAAGAGGTCAACACCTTGCATTTTACCACACACTCTTCTCCTCAGGGCTTAAGGGGTGTTACAAGGGCATGGGCTGGAGGTCGCACTGTGGAAAACTACTCTGCCAGGCCCTGCCACAGACGTCGGCGTTTTCTGTGACTCTCGAGAATGTGGGTTTAGTGACCTCCCCTGAGGGCCAGCGCAAGCCATGAAGGCACCCACCCAAGTTGGCGTTTTGGAAAACACATAAAGGACCTCTTCTGCCGCCAGCCCTGGGAGTATCAAATGGCAAAATTTTGTATTTAAGGGACGTTGACATTTAAGATTGAAAAGGAATTTGAATTTCTAAATTAAAAAAAAAATAAGTCAGTGTGATTCAAATTAAAATATCATTGTCAATTTCTAACAGCACATCTAACTCACTCAGCCACACATCTAACTCATTCCCCCTGGAGGGAGACTAATTGTTTCTCAAGAGGGAACTCATGTTCTCACCTCAGTTTAGTTACCGGCTCTCGCTATTTCGGTGCCTGCAGCTCCAGCTAACTTGGGTCAGATGTGCATACAAACCTTTGCTTTCCTAGAGCTCAGGAGAAGGTCCCCAGGTGAGAACAGGCCCCTGCATCCCTGCTCTGCACTTTAACCTCATGTCTTCATTGGGAGCCCAGAAAAAGGAGGAAACAGATCACGGGGCACTGTAACCAAGTAGGGAGAGGGACCGGCACTGAGGTCGGGGGGCTGGTGTGAGTGGAAGCTCTGATAGCAGAGGCAGGGCTGAGCCTGAAGCAGAGTTTGCCTCCTCTCACGGGGTGCTCACTCCCAGGCTTGGAGGGCGAGAACCCACCTCCCTCAGTATTTCCTATAAGGGTCAGGAGGCAGAATCAAACATCAGGTGTCCTGGGACAGGAGCTAGAGAAGTAGATCTCAAAGTGTGGC